TTACCCTCTCACACCTGTTCTCAGACTGCTTAGCCAGCTGAGCGTGAGATGCTGTCACTTCCTGTCTCAAGATTTCAAAATTGTTAGTAGTTTCAATTTTATCATTCTGCACTTTCTCGGTCAGTGCTCGAAACTGTCCGTTGGTGCTCTCTGTTATTAGGCTAATTTCCCTATTCATTGCTTCCATCTTCCGATCTGTCCTCAGTTCTACGTCACTCGCGATCTGATTCATGGATGCAGCATGTCGCGCTTGTGTGCAACACATATGTTCTCCAACCTTTCATTAAATTCTTTTCCTCTCCTTTCACCCTCCTTCCTAAATTCCTCTCCCGGAACATCTCCATTCTTTTATTGCTCTCCTTCCTATTCTCCCGAAACATCTCCTTCATACACGACATTATCGCTTGCATATCTATTTGGTCGTCTTTACCCTTTTTGTCAGCACTCGTCAGTTGTTCTCCCCTACTCTCACTGATTCCACCTGTGTCCCCTTCTGTCGGTTGACCACACTGCATGTCCATTTCTCCTTCTGAATCTCCCCCACTCTCACCTATAATTACGCCTTCTAACTGCGTCGTCTCCTCATCCATCATTTCACCTTCTTCATTATTGTCTCCGATTAACCTTTTGTTTCTCAAATATCTGCGAGTAATCATACCTTCCCTGATTATTAACAATCCTAGTCTGTCTCTGTCACTTTCACTTTCCACCAACCTGACCTGAAGATCGCCGGGGTTGATTCTCCTCTAGATGAATCGGGTTGTCCTCAAGATGCAAGTCTTCCGATCTGTCCCTGGTTCGTCCTTTTCACCGCAGCATTGCTCGATGACACTTTTCTTGTCCAGCCGCCGCTATCTTGAACTCCTGGCTTCGAAGCACCGATCCTTATCGAGCCGCACGTTGTTAAGAGTCCTTTGTTTATATGCAGCCGCTACTATTCGGGCCCCAAACGCTGGTCGCCATCACTACACCCGTCCCCACACGCTTTACTTCCACGCAGTGTATGCCTCGACTAAATTCAGCGGAATGAGTCTTATATCCCAGGGGTACACGGGTGTTGGCTCGCTTACGTCGTTTTTTTTTATGCGGGCTCGATCGGTTAACCCCCCTAGCACAGGTTCGACATGAACACCCTCACTCCCTGGCTTCTACTCCCTCACTCCCCGGCTTCTACTCACTAACTAACTCCTTACCCCCGCTGCTGCTTCCAGAAACCACGTTCTTAGCCATCTCGAACTTTCCACTGGGAGGGCTTCATGACCAAATGCACAGACCCCTTCAGGTCTGCACACCTTCTAGAGGTTTTGATCCACAGGTTCTCCACCCCCACAGGCACGGACGAAAGGAGGTATACCTACACCCCCCCGAATGCAATGGACTCACCAACCTCCCTTCTGTCCCTCGTAACAAAAGGCCAGTTCAGAGGACCATGAACCCTCCGGGGCATCTCACTTCCACAGCCAAACCCAATCGCTAAGCATAAACAGATAAGATACCTCCGTGAAGGGTGCGTACGGTTACAGCACAGTATGTCCCTCTAAAACTCAGGTAAATTCAACCAGGTTACATCACATGACCTCCCAGATGATAGTACTGTTCATAGTCACTGGTCTAATAACCTCAGATCCAACACAGTGAATCTAGTTGTTATGATAACATCAGCAACTGCTGCCCTTCATGTCAGTGAGCATGACCTAACCGTACATATTTGAGTTAGGGTTTCCTCCATGTCACATGGCTTTCTGTAATTCATTCTGACTTCAGAATGATCATCATGTTATATTGCTGTGTGATTTACAAGTCATTGCTACAGACAGATATTTCAGGATCGTTTTTTCACAGTTATTGTTATTTTTTGGTGTAGCTTTTCATAGTAGAACATATTTTTATTTATGTGTTATCATTAAGCACATTATATATTGCAATATAGCACAATTTCATATGTGTTTCTTTCATATTGTGTCACAAAATATGGGTAATGATGGTGATGAATTCTGTTATCAGTGTAACCAGAAGAGTGGTTCATCAAAATGTTAAAAGTTGTTGATATCCCCAGCATGTAGGTAGTGATACCAGTGGAATGTAGAGGACAGGTTTAGAAATCGTGTTGCTACAGCAACTTAAGTCTAACTCCTTAATTAAGTCTTAAAAATTAGTAATTTTTGTAACTTTTCACATTATAGTCATGAGTGTAAATTCACAGTTTTTCAGGAAATGAAAGAAACATAGAAGTAAAAATGTTACTTTAATATTATTATGGTTGTGGAAGTTGACATTTTTTACAGTTAAAGTCATTAGCTCCTCGAAGCACACTGTGGAGTCAAAGAATGACATTAAAGATGGATGCCGTGATTCTCATTGCTTATAAACAGGTAGTGCAGGGGTATTAGAATTTTCATTATTATACAATAAACATATACACTGGAACCCGTTGATCTTTTAGTTGACATTTTGCCTTGCTTATCATTCACTTACAAGGATCCCAGTTTAATAATTTTCATTTAATTGCCTCCATTTAAGGACTTTCTCATATTAAGAGTTTATTTTCCCCCCAAATAAATCTGGAAGGGGATTTTAATATATATTTTCTCATATATTGTTGCATTCTGTTGTAAGTCACTGTAAATAATATTTATTATATTCCTGTCAGCACAACACAGTTTCTGGCACTTGGAGTTTGCTGTGTAGGATGACATGCTTGCCACATGTGTGCCATCATTAGGTTCAGTGTTTAGTTACAATTATTCTGTCATGTACTTTGTGTAAACACACCAGTGGATCAACTGTTTACATAAAAAAAATTGTATGCAATTGCATGATGCAATAATTGCAACTAAAAACTGTACCTGAAGATGGCACATGTGTGCCAAAACATGTCATCTGAGACAGCAAACTCCTCCTGCCGGAAATAGTGTTATGTTGAAAGGAATACGTGGGGCAATCCAAAAGTTTCCAAAATTTGAATTTTGCGCGCGAATGGTTATGAGTACATCAAAATACCGCTAGGCGTCTCCTCACACATCCTTCTTGAATCAGTGTGGCAAGCGGCGTCGAGTTGAGTGGTTGGGTTTATTGTTGGTGAACATATTTCCATTGTTGTGTTTCCGTGAGTTTGCAGTTTTACGATGGCTGACCTGAGAGAGTAGCGTGTCGGTATAAAGTTTTGTTTTAAACTTAGGAAAACCGCTGTAGAAACGCACCAAATGTTGAAACAAGCTTTTGGTGACAACAGTTTAGGCCAGACACAAACTTACGACTGGTATAAGCGTTTAAAAAATGGCCGAACATCGACTGATGATGATGATCGTTCGGGACGGCCGTCAGCGGGCAAAACATCAGAAAATGTCTCGAAAGGTAGGAATCTGATTCTGCAAGATCGTAGACTGACCATCCAAGACCTCTGTAACACCTTGGGACTAAGTTACGGTACATGTCAACGAATTTTGCCAGAGGAACTGAACATGAGGAGGACTGCGGCGAAGTTTGTACCACGACTGCTGCAAAATGAACAGAAGAAGCATCGCTTGGAAGTCTTCAGGGAACTTCAGCAACAGCTTCAAGAGGATCCGAACTTTCTTTCGAAGGTTGTCAATGGTGACAAAAGTTGGGTTTATGGCTATGACCCTGAAAGCAAGCAGCAATTGTCGCCCTTCTTCACCTCGGCCAAAAAAAGCCCGACAAGTCAAGAGCAACATTAAGTCCATGTTGATCTGTTTTTTTTTTATATTGACGGGATTGTTCATAAGGAGTTCGTCCCTCCTGGTCAGACAGTCAATAAAGAGTTCTATTGCCATGTTCTAAGGCGTTTGAGGGAGAACATGAGGAGAAAACGTCCAGAGAAGTGGTGCACAAACGAATGGGTACTCCACCATGACAATGCACGACCGCATACAGCTTACACTGTGCAGGAATTTTTGGCTAAAAACAAGATGGCAGTTGTTCCCCACCCACCATGGGGAACGCTGGGATCGGTGTATGCGCTCCAAAGGGGACTACTTTGAAGATAATGGTGCAGAATAAGATCTAGGTAAGATGTAATAGTTTTTATTAATATAGTTCGGGAACTTTTGGATTGCACCACGTATAATACATATTGTGGTGTATTGGCTCTATGCAGGGACTGTTGAGCCACAGAGGCCTCGGGGCATGTGCACAATGTGAGAGTTGCGAATTGTATTGGCATGTTGCTAGGCGACAACTTTGTGAACACTTGGATTGCACAACAGGAAGTGCAAGTGACGTGACATACCTCATTGATCCCGTAACTACGCAATGCTTGGTAAACACCCCTCCCCGCTAGGCTGTGACCTCACGCCACAGGCGAGTCCGTGCAGCGACTATTGCTAGTCAGTCGGTAAACACGACGTTATGCATCAGTGGTAGCTATCATGTAACTGTTTTCTGTGTTGTCAGTGCGGAAGCTACATAATGAGGAGTATTTGTCAGAGAGAGAGTTACTAGTATTGAGGATGGAGTATTCAGTATGAGTTGAAGTCCAGCAGCTACGAGTTTTTATTGAGTTGTATCAAGTGAGTGGAAGTGACTACAGCAGGAGAAGTAATTGTGATACTACAGATGACAGTGATTGTGAAATTGTGTAAGTGTAAGAGCGAGTGTTCAGTAAATTTGCTAAGATCCAAAACAGCGTGAAGTTATTTGTTGCGTTACAAACACCCAACACTTGACAGTGTTATATGTAGTCACTGTATTTGCACCCAGGCTTTGACTGATGCTAGCATCTGGGCAAGATATTCTTAACTATGTTATTTATCTCAGTTTGAGATCAGAGATATGCTTTCCTTGATGTTGTGTACAGTGGTATTTTGCTGCTACAGTGACCTGCCTCTATGTTAGACTCTGAAGAGTTAAAAATGTCTTTGCTTTTGTCATAATTCTCTGTGGGTATATATAAATGTTGTGCTAAACGAACAAGCTTTTCTAGCCGAGTGTAATTTCAGTATTTTTTCGTTGTTTCTGAAATGTCTAAAATTTTTTACCAGGAAATGCAGGCGGGACCAAAACTCAGCAAAGAGTACCACAGGGTTCTGTAGAAACTGATGATGATGCGAGTAAACTGAAGCTTACAGTTTATGAAGCCCTGATTGAAGATAAAGGGAAAAACATGATCTACCTCCGATTGTCAGCTGCAACAGTGCATGCTCTGAATATGAAGCCAGAGACAGACTTTCTAGCTGAAGTGCAGTTCCAGCTAAACAGGGTCCCTTACTGTGAATGGCATTATGCAATTGATAAGATTGCTGACTTTCGTGTTATTTTCCCTGATACTTATCTTGAACCAAGCATACCGTGGACGCCACAAAGGTAAGATGGCTGACAGCTGAAGTCAGCAGTAGAGAAATGAGTATGTTTGTCTTTTTAGTGCACTGTATGTAAACTGAAAGTCACTCTCTTGCATGAGTTTGTAACTTCATATTTGATATCAGTTGATTATGGTTTAAGATGCATTGTTCTCCATTAATTTATGTTTATAACGTGTGTAGCTCATAAAATATCCATGTACTGTAATACATGTTTTTGAAATTGAAAAAATATTTTATTTTTATAGTGATTTGATAACTTTCATGGATATGATTTGTGATCTAAAACAGTGTTTCTCAACCACTGGACTGTGGTCCAGTACCAGGCCCTGGCATCAATTATACCAGGCCATCTTGTAGAAAAAAGAATTTACTGGGCCGCGGTCTGACAGAGGTTGAGAACCACTGATCTAAAATATGCTATTAGCAGTCTGTAGAACAAATATGAATTTTGTGTAGATGTTAGATGCTTCTGAAGACAGACATTAGTAAGACTGCTTAGGTAGACTGCTTGAAACTTATTTGAATATCTTCATATATTGGAGGTGCATACGATTTGGAACCTTTACATAGTCGGTATGGCATACAAGACAACTTTAATGGATTAGAAGAAATTTTCTCTATGTGAAAATATGAGAAAAATTGCACATATTGTATTATGACATGCTTGGCTTTTACTTCTACTCTGCAAGAAAATATTTTTGTGTTTGCATGCCCTGATTGTTTTTGTTTCACTGAATGGAATATCATTTGACAGACTATAGTGTACCTAAACGTTAGCTTGCTTTGGAAGCAGATTAATGAAGCACACATGTCTCTAGTTATCTACAATTAATGTAAATCACTGAGTAAAGTTAAATCACAATAAGTTAGCTAACTTTAACCCTTATATAGGGCATGTGTTCCAAAATAGCTGTCCAAGAGTTTAATAGTAAATTTTTGTTTCAAAATTTTGTGTTAATATCACTATGATTGCAATTTACAAAAATATGATCAGATGACTCATAAGATATTAGAAGGGGTGAAGATGTAGGAGCAAGATCAGTTTGGTTAGGCTCCCCTGCAGAAGCTGAAGGCTCTGAATCCGTGGGTGGTACATTCATACCCTTTAATCACATATAATTTGTCCTCAAGAGTAACACTTGCTTTGCTACCTGCCACCAGTATCATTTCTATAACTACTCCGATGTTTGCATATATCCAGTTTTAAGTTATGGGTTACACAAAATTAAGGCAGTAAAATACAATGTAATTTGAGATGCTATGTGGCTTGCAACCGAGAAGGGGGGGGGGTGGATGCATGCACTGGAAAACCAAAGAATGGACAAATTTCAAAGAGCAAGAGCCCACCACTGGTCTCCATCATGAGCCAGATGAATCCATTCCACATCCCTGCATCCTGTTTCTCTGAGGTCATTGTAATATTATGATTTTGTTTAAGTCTTCCATGTTTTAAAATCAGTTTTTGCTTTTGCAGTTATACGTGGTAGAGTCATTAAGTTCGTGGAATGTGGTTTTATCGCATCATATTACAAGGTATTCACATACACTTACACAGATCCACATCGGCCCTCAAAATATTTGCCGTTGGCTGCTAGGCAAGTCTGCCAACGTTGATATAGCTGTCAAAAACATCGCTGAAACATATTGGCAGTAAATTCCCGTAAGACTCTTTGCGGCCATTCCACGAACTTATTGACTGTGGCAGTATTCTGTAGTGTGTGATGTGTTATTGAAAGTAGGATATGACTGTAATAAATTTGACACATTGTAGTATGTCATGTTTGTGAGTTCATATTGCGAGGGCTATTCAGAAAGTAACCTCCAGTGAGCTGTTAACAAAACAAGCAACAAGAAAAAATTATTATGTACAAAAAATATGTACATACTTCAGCTACTTCTGAACATAGTCACTGCTGGAATTGAGGCAACTGTATCGGGGAATAAGTTTTTGTATGTCTTTGTCAAAGAACTCTGATGCATGTGAGCTCAGCACATTTCGAAACCTTTCATTAGCTCCTCATTATTGTTGATTGAATGAAGTTAAACTGTCATTTTAGGCCTCTTTTCTAAAGCCGTTTAAGGTAGATAATGCTTGTTCCTGAGACGGGCAGCAAGTAAGGCTTCCGCTATGCCGCGAGGTCATAATGCAGAGGCACAGGATTGTTTTTCCTTGCCATCAGTTAACAGTAAATGTTTGCCAAAGCTGCCATGGTTGACGTTTATCTTTTAGCTTGTAATTCCTCAAAATGCATTTTGGAAATGTTGTCAGATTACATTTTATTAAGTACTGATGTAAAGCTTATTATCAGAATTAAATATTACTTCCTAACTAATATGAATTTTTTGTTTTGTAGTATTGAGCAAGTTCATAATATTGTAACGTGTTTCGTTACAGAATACGCCGTAGAGATGGTTAATTGGTTTATTTGACAATCTCTAAATAGCGGCTACAATTAATTATCACAATATTAAGGGTTTCCACACCTTACAAACCCTACAACAAAATCTCTTAACACTGTCTTCAAGAGTCTTCACGTATTAATAACGCGGGAGCTATACAAGTCTCCCTGAATTACACACTCCAGATATAACTGGTTATCACTGGTTATCGCACACGCGTCTGTAGCTCGTAACTTGCGAACTGAGAACCCGTTGGTAACGCACTGACTGGCT